CCCCTAGACCAAGTGGGTTTCATTCTAGGGACCCAAGGATGGTTCAGCATATGCAAACCAATCAGCGTCACTCACCACATCAATAAAAAGAAAGTCAAATATCATAGGATCATTTCAATAAATACTGGAAAAAAAATCTGATTAAATCTAACACCCATGTATGATAAAAACTTTCAATCAAACGGGAATAAGAGGAACATCTCAACATAACAAAGGTGAAATATGATAAATCCACAGTGACTATCATACCTGGTGGTGAAAACCTGAAGAGGGTGTTTCCTTTAAGATCAGAAACTACACAAGGATGTCCACTGTCACCACTACTATTCAACAGAGTATTAGAAGTCCTAACCAGAGCAATCAGGCAAGGAAAAGACATAAAGGGAATCTGAATTGGAAAAGAAGTAAAATACCATTGATCACAGATGCCATGATAATAATACATAGAAAAAAAATCCAAGACTACAAAAAAAACAGATGATATAACAAATGAATACAATAAAGTGACAATAAACAAAACCAATACACAAATATTTGTTGGGTTTCTATATACAATGAATTTTAAAAAGGAGAAATTAAGTTAACAATTCCATTTGTAAGTCATAGCAAAAAAAGGATGAAATACCTAGGAATAAAATGAACAAAGGTGAAGGCTCTCTACATGGAGAATTTAAGAATCAAAGATGACACAATGAGATGGAAAGATACCCCATGTTGATGATTGGAAGAATAAGCATTGTTAACATGGTCTTATTTCCTAATGTAATTTATAGTTTCAACACAATGCCTATCAAAACTACAATGACATTTTTCAAGGAAATAAAACAATTACAAAATTGGTGAGAAACCACAACCGACCTTGAACAGCCAAAGCAATCCTAAGAGAAAAAAAGAAAAATAAAGATTTCACACTCCCTACTTCAACACAGCAACAGCAATCCAAACAGTATGACACTGGAATGTCAACTGTGCTTTAACCAGTTTGTGCCACCCGGGAGGACCCCTTAAAAGCTTTTTTAAAGCAAAAGAAAGCATCACCAAAAAAAAAGGCAACTTACAGGAGATTATTGTCACATAAAATGTTGAACAAGGGGTTAATTTCCAAAATATATAGAGAACTCACACAATTCTATAATCAAACACAACCCAATCAAAAATGGACATTAGACCTAAATAGACACTTCTCCAAAGAACACATACAGATGGCCAAAGGCATATGAAAAAAATACTCAAAAACATTTATAATGGAAAGTTGAACAGCAAAACCACAAGGAGAAACCCCACCACCTATAAGAAAATGGCCTATTTCAAAAAAACTAGAAACAACAAATATTGGCAAAATGTGAAGAAAAGGACCTTTACCCACTGTTGGTGGGAAGGTAATGTGGTACAAGCTTGATGGAAAATGATGCAGAGATCCTCCTTCCTGTCCCCAAAATGGAAAAACTGTATGAACCATACTATAGGAACATCACTTCATAAAGAATCTGAAAACATCATACCAGAAGATTTATACACTCCCATGTTCATCGCAGCATTATTCACAATAGCCAAGTCATAGAACCAACCTAAATATCAATCAACAGAAAATATACTCAACAGAATACTATGCAGCTATTAAAGATGAAAATAGTGACTCTTTAGCATGAAATAGAGAAATCTTGAAGTGATTATGCTAACTGAAGTAAGCCAGAAAAGTGAAAGACAGTGATCAGATGGTTTCATTCATTTGTAAAATGTAAACATAAGGAAACAAACTAGCAAAACAAAAAACATACTAGTTACCTGCCTGATGACAAGGTAGGGATAAGGAAAGCAATGGGGCTGTGCCACTGGGACGCTGGCGGGGGATGAGTGAGGCACACACCTAACATAGAGGTGTTACATTACATCCCCCAAATTATATAAACTAACGGCAAATCAATAAACTTGAAAAAATTAATAATATAGGTATTAATAAGTGTGTGGCTTGAAAATAAATAAACCTCTCTCATAAAAAACTGTAAGTGGAATACTTTCTGCACACACACCTCTAAGCAGATCTGTTACTTTTAGCAATACCTGGTTGGCTAAGGCTAAAAACTTCTTGTCTTCTTGAAGGAGAATACTGAGAAAGCAACATCAGGTCCTGCAAGGCCAAATACTAGAAGGGAAAAAATAGTACCATTTTTAAATTTTTTACCCTCCCTATAAAACCTTATTTATGAACTGGGCTCAACATTACACACAAACCCCTCCCCATACCCACACACAGTATAGGAATTACAGAATTCTGTTCTTTTCCAACTATGTGGTAGGAAATTTAATTGCTTACTCATAGAACTTTTCTTGGTCTCCCCCACATAAATATGTATTCCCACACAGCTCTCATTTATGGCATTTAACATGATTTATTATAATGTCTGGGTCCACTCATCAAACTGTGAAGACAGAAATGTCTTCCACAGCAAAGCCTAGCATCCACTAGACACGGAACCAGTATCAGTTCTAGTTTCCTGTTGTTCCCTGACAAGCTTCTTCATTCATCATTCCAGATACCATCCCTTCTGCGAAGCTCTCCTGTATTGGTCACAAGCAGAACAGGCAATTTCAATATATTTTCATTATTTTGTGTATTTGCCTTTTCATCAGACTCTGCCAAGTTTTACTATATCCTAAGCAGCTCACAGTAACTAACACTACCTCAGTAAATAAAGATTTCTTAAATAACCAATTGTTTATCTAATAAATTAGTCATAATTCCTATCTAAAGGTAATGAGAACCTCCATGGTTCCTTTATTTATTAATTTATAACTTTTCCATAATAAAAACTCTGGGTTCTATCTTCTTTCAATTATTTAAGTAACTTCTTAACATATCATACATATTATATAGCTCTACTCTAAATTCTAAAATGTAATTTGAAGCAAAACAATTTACTCTCACTTAGCTTGGCTTGTCAACTTACTG